ACGCCCGGCCAGGCTGCATTCTTTGCCAGCACCACTGCAATAGCTGGGTGGGAAGGCTCTGGGCAAAATGTCCACCCCTGGAGCTGCTGGAGCTCAGCCTGCCGGCAGCTCACACAGATTTTGGCAGTGGTTGCTGCAAAACGACAAGAATCCCACCAGATCCACTTCAAAGCCCCAGCGAGTCCAGGTGTTCTGGCACCTCTGCCACCCTGGCATGGATTGTATTCCACTGGCATTGCTCACATCCTTGCCCCGTGACAAGGGGAACTGTACTGGCATCACCACATGCCTGGCGTTTGCTGCAGTGCTTGATGATGAGGAAATGTTCAAAAACATGCACTAAATAAAACAATGGCTACCATTTATTGAACACGTACTATAAGCCAAGCACTGCCCCAAGTCCAGAACCAGCATAAACTTATTTATTCCTTCTAATAACTCCATGAAGAACATAGTCCTCATTCCCATCATTTAAATGTATAAATGGTTCTACAGAGAAGTTAAGTGATTTCCCCAAGGTCACACAGCTAGGATTTGGCCGGCCAATGTGCTACTGAATAAGTGAATGCAGGAATAAATTCTTCACCTCTGGTCCCTGTCACCCATTTAACTACCCATCTGTCTTCCTAGTGGCTCTCTGGGTGGGAAGGGTGAGAGGATGGGAAGGAGTCACCTCCACGATTTATTCTTTCATCTCACAAATACGTGCCGAGTGTTTCTGGTTGAGCTCTGGTTCTGATGTTGGGGCACAGAAGCGAACAAGACTCACGTGGCCCCTGCTCCCGGGGGCCTCCATTCCAAAGGGGGTCAGTGTACAGACCAGTGGACACATACCCAAGTAACATGCCACACGACGGAAAACAGAGTGGAATGAGGGGAAAGAGGTGTCCAGGCAGGGCACCAGAAGGCCAGGCAGCAAGACCAGGTCCCCAAGGCTCTGTGCCTGGCATGCTGGGGACAGCAAAGAAACCATCACGGCTGCTAATGAGCAGCATGGAGAGGTGGGGTCCGGAAGGGGACAGCTGCGGGGACTTTGGCCTTCACTCCTGGTGAGGCGAAGACGCTGAGCAGAAGTGGGCTCGACCTGACCCGTGGCTTCCAGGGGGACATGGTCTCCGGGGTGGGGGAAGCTGGGTACCTCCTCCCCAGCCCTGGACAGAGCTGCTGGACTAGATGGGAGTCGCGGTGGCCAGCATGAAGCACACCAGCGCTGGGCAGGGCTGGGCAAGGCAGGACAGGGCAGGGGACTTCCAAGGAGGCCTGCAGGGAGGGGCCTGGGCCCAGCTCACCAGAGCCAGGGTGTGACTCCTGGGGAGAGAGTTGCAAGGCCTCGGGCAGCAGCCAGCCCTGTGCCTGCAACACTGGCCCCGGGCAGCCTGGCTTACTGGACCCCAGATGCACTGCTGGGGAGCATCAGGAGCACAAGGACCAGATAGGAAAGAGGGGACCCTGGCGCAGGACTCCACGCAGAATGTGAGGTGACACGACAAATCTTTGGATACATTGGTTCAAATGAACGATTAAAATCAGTGTCCACTGTTTCTTTTTCTCACATAAAGACTAGAAATGTTCTAAAGCAGACCCGCGGCTCCTGTTCTGTCTCTTCTGGACGGGACAGATGCCGCCCAGCAGCCTGGACGTTCAGGACAGGGACACAGAACCCCACCTGGAGGAGGGAAGGGTTTGTCCCCACACACAGCTGGTCTGCGAGCCAGGAGGGGAGTGATCAGCCAGATAGAGGGAGGACGTGGCGAGCAGGATGGAGCAGGCTTGTTCGAGGTGACCCCTTTGGCCAGCAACACCGTGGACCGTCAGTGACCACAGTGACCATATACTGAGCCGACTGTGCAAGGCAGGGCCAGACCTCCGCTGCCCACTCAACAGCCACACGGGATGGGCAGGCATCTCCTCCCATTGTTGTCGGATGAGGAAACTGAGATGGAAGAGTGGCATGCCCAGGGCCACCTGTCCCCAGCCAGGAGTGGAGGAGCAAGCCCTGGGCCAGGACCTTCAAGGGCCAGGCTGCAGGACCTGGGGAGGCCTGGGCTCCATTGCAGAGACTCCCCGTGACCCTGAGCCTGACATGCCACACGGGCTGCCTGCGCCAGCCTAGGGGCCCAGCCTTAGGGGCTACTATGGCAGGGGGCACCATCGGGAAGCGGTGGCATGGCCATCCAGGTACTGGATGTTGTGGCCGGAAGCTGGAGCCGGGGAGCGTCCTCCACCCCAACAGGCTGCAGAGGCGCTGGGACTGTGGGCAGAGGCCTGGGGCTGCTTTCTGGGGAGGAAAGGAGGAGGGAGAAAGGAACAGGGGCCGGCCACTGGCCACTGCTTTTAAAATCCAGGAGCATGTTGCTAGGAGTCACCAAGGGAAAACAAAAGATCCCAAACAAAACAAAAACCCAACCACCAGAAAACCCACCACCACTGGGAAGCCTCCGGCACTGTCTGCTCAGCTTCTGGGCAGTGAATCTACCACCATTCTCTGGCACCTGGGCTCCTGGGGCCTACACACTGACAGGTCTCGCTGTTGGGCCCTCTGGCTGACGGCTGGGTGTGGAGTGAGGAGGAGGGAGATCCTGTCTCTCTGGGCTCCCTTACTTGGCCACCTTCCCCAGGACTCCTGAATGCAGGATGAGGACACCCGTGCACCTGCTGCGGCTGGGACTGCTGGGAGCGGTAGGCAAGCTTCTTGTGTTCTCCAGGCCTTGGCTGCTAAAATAATGGTTGCACTTGCAAATGCTGAGCCTCTGCCATGTGAGCTGCCGGTCCCCTTCCATTTGCCGTCCGGCCTCACAGAGGTGGAGACCAGGGAGCAGAAGGGCCATCAGGCCAGAAGTGCTGTCAGGCCACTGCTAAGTGACAGAGGAGGCTCTCACACTCAGACCCCTTCCCTGGATCTAAAGCGGGCTCCTTGCCATGCAGCGGTATCTTGGATGACTTCTCATGATCATTCCCATTTGGAGACCCCCGACTCCCAGAGGGGGGCTGCTGCAGCAAATTCCTTCCGCTTTATACCAATCTGCAAACTGACCCCTGACCCAATAATTATTGGGACCCCTGCTCTGATCATTGCCATTCCCCCCTCTAACCCTTCCAGGCCTCCCCAGCATTCCACTGACCATGAGGTCACAGTCCTGAGAGGCCTTAAGAACGTCCAAGTCAACCACGTCCCTGGGCAGACAGCCTCATAGCCCGCACTCGCCACCGACATCCCTGGCTGTCCCCAACCTGCACTCTGAATGCTCTAAGGCCAGTAGCTATTTTTGCCCTGTGTTTCTGTCCTTCTCAGGGAATCAGACCCAGGAGATGCTGAGCGTCCAGCCTTCTGCAGCAGAATCCGAGCCTGGCCGTGGGCTCTTGGAGTGACACCTCTTCCTTGAAGCCTCCCCTGAGCCCCTCTGACCGTTATGGAATTTTCCTTTCCCTCCCTCCCCCCACAACACTCTGTGTCCCTTCCACAGTGTCTGCGGCTCTGCATTTGATCACAGTCTCTGCAGACGGAGCTCATCTCCCTGGGACACCCCATTAGAAGCTCCCTACAGGCAGGCGGTACATTTCCTTCATCTTTCCACTCAACCCAGGGCCTGGCATGCGCTTGTAAAATTAGCAGCAACAATATTGACAACTGTCGTTTTTGCACATCGACTGTGTGCTAAGTGTGACTCTAAATATTTGGCATGTCCTAATACATTGAATCATCATAGCAACCTTCCTTATAGATGGGGTAATTTCGTAATCATTTGCAAATGAGGAAACCCAAGCACAGAGAGGTTAAATAACTTGCCCCACACCACACAGGGTTTGACTAAGATGAGCAGTTTGGTGCCAGAGCTGAGTGCAGGGAAAGGGTGAAGGGGGTGGAGAGCCATAAGGGGAGGGGGGAGCCATAAATGTCTCCACTATGTGGAGTCGGAGCAGGGTTGCTGCTAGCCCTGGGGGGTTGCACTGAGTGGCACACAGTAGGTGCTCAGTAACAATGGACTATTAAGATAACGAGACAGCTCAATGGCTGTTCAGACACAGGTGTGCGGCTGGTGGGGGCTGGAGGCTGAGGAGACTATCCCAGGCAGGAGGACTGGCAGTGCCCACCTGGCTCTCACCCCGCCACTCCCGCCAGCTCCAGCCGCCTGTCCCCAGCCTTCAGACCTCTCATGCCTGGGCTGGCGGCTGGCAGTTTTTCTCCTGCCGAGAACAGCCATAGAAAATTGAGATCATTTCTCTGCCGTGCTGGCAGCTGAGAAAATGGCAATTTTTCCTATTTCCAATCCAAGAGTTCCTTCCTATTGGACAAAGGCCCCATGAGCCTGTCGGGCCAGGGGAGAGTATGGGTCACCCCTGGGCAGGTCACCTCCTACAAGGCGTGGGCTGCAGTGGTCATGCAACCGCAGGCTGCGGGTGGCAGGAGGAGGGGGCCACCAACCAAGACCCATGAGGGTGTCAAACAGGGGCAGGTGACAAGGTCCCAGCAGCCGATGACCTAGTTGCTGCAGGCTGCTCGGGGACTCAAAGGACATGGGGCTTTGCAGTCCTTGAACTCAAGAGCCTCCAGTTCACCATGCCCCCAATCAAGAGTGGCAGCAAATGAGACCCAGCTTGTGTGTGTCATCACCCCCACGTCCTCTTAGAAGTGGAGTTTCTGTAAAGGTAGATGATTTGTTAAAAATATTAAAATTTGTGATGGGTATGGTGGCTCACGCTTATAATCCCAGCAGCTCAGGAGGCTGAGGCAGGAGGATCCTGAGTTCAAAACCAGCCTCAGCAACAGCAACTCAGTGAGACCCTGTCTCTAAATAAACTACAAAATAGGGCTGGGAATGTGGCTCAGTGGTTGAGTGCCCCTGAGTTCAATCCCCTGGTTGAGTGCCCCTGAGTTCAATCCCCTGTAACCGCCCCCCCCAAAAAAAAATTTGTGAAAGAAATGGGAAGTCGCTTAGCATCCCAAATGCCCTGCAGAGGACAGCTGGCCTGTGGGCTCCACCAGTATGCCTCCCCATCGCTCTCAGCTTGCAAGCTAGCTTTCTCACCAGGGCCTCTGGGCCCTGTAAGACCCACCCACTCACCCACCCACCCATCATGGCACTCCAGCCCCTCTGGCTTCCCTTCTGCTCCTTGAATGGTCAAGCCCGTGCCCCAGGACTCTGACACTGGCTGCTGCCTCTGCCCTTGGGCTCTCCCGGGTATAGCTGTGTGGCTCTCACTCCGTACATCCTCCCCTGCCCCCGTCTCTGCTGGGTGATGCTTCATCCAATGGTCATTCGCTTTGATGCTAAACAGCTCTCCCCAACGCACACGCTCCTCAGAGTTCCCAATCCCCTTACCCTACTTTTTGCCTTCTAACATATATAACTGACTTATTGGATAGATTCATTCCCAACCTCTGCCTTCCCTTCCCCCACGATGCAGGCAGGTTCCCTGAGGGCAGGGGTTTTGTTGTGGCCACTGATCATGGCAGGGCCCCAGCTGAACACCTGTTGGGGGCGTCCGTGTGCACATTCATGGATTCCTGTGGCCCATTACCAAATGCTTGCTTCTCGTCAGACACCCCTGGGTGGGCAGTGGCTTCGAAGCCATCACGCCCCGTCTGTGTCCACAGGAGCCCAGGGCCGGTGGGGAAGCCTAATGAAAAGCACAGCAAATCTGTTCTGGAGAGATTCTTGTGGTTTTCTCTGGTGGACGTGCTGTGGCTCGGGAGCTGGGCAGGTGATGGGTGGGAAGGTGCTGGGGTCAGAGGGGGCAGCAGGTGCAGAAGTTCTGACATGGGAAAGAGCATGAGTCGTCCAGGAGGGGGGGGGAGGGCAGCTCCAGGTGAAGCTGGAGGGACCCTCACGGGGTGGTCCCTTTCTGTGGCTCATTCTGTGCTTAGTCCTTGTTTGCAGGACACGGAGAGGTTTGCTAAGAAGCCCTCCCTGTGCGGGCTCAGAAAACCTGACTTCCAAAGCTGGTGAGGCCAGGGTTCTGCGAAATGCGGACCACAGGGCTACCTGCACGCGGCGGCCACCAAGAGCGTCAAGTGAATCTGAACCGCACAGGCAGCTGGACCTCTCCACCAGGCGGTGTGGGACCGCGGCTGAGCAGGCGCGCACTGAGCATGCGCCTCTCTTCTGGCTCCCACCGACACCTTGCTCCCGCCGTGACAAGTCTGCTGCATCATCTGAACCAAGTTGCCAAAAATACATCCACTTCTGGGCCAGAGCCAGGCTCCCCACAGCCCCCAGGTCTCAGGGCCGGGGCGGGAGGACCGCAAGGGAGGGCCCCTCCAACCTCTGAGCAAAGGGGTGTCTCTCCCACCAGACGCGCGGCAAGCAGGCGACCATGGCCACCTGTGCAGGTTGCTCATCAGATGGGCCTCTGTGGAGAGGAGGCTGCCTCTCTTGTCAAATGGGGTGCTCCCTGAGGGCACCCCACCTCTTCTCCTCTCCTTCAGTAAAACAGAGAGGCTGCTACCCAGTGCAGCGTGGCTCTCCTGTTTGAAGCTGGTCACTGCTAGGGCTATGATCCTGGGGAGGGGTCTGAGGGGGAGGGGAGGCGTATCCTGGCTGTCTGCTCTCCCTGGGACCAGGGTCTTCCCTGGAGGTCCCCATGTTGCTGGGCCTGGAAGTCTTAGATAGAGATGCCTTTGGGAACCTGACTGCTTTAAGAGACATCCATCCATCCTGGTGACCATGGGCACACTGTTCTCTCAGCCCCTCCTAGGATCAGGAGAGAGATGGGCCCCGGGAGACAGAATAAGCCGAGAAACCCCACACCAGCCAGTCCACATGTCCTCACTGGTCCCAGTTTGAACTGATTAGGAAAGTCATTTATGCCAAGAGAGTCTCCAGTCACTCATCCCCATAGGCCATAGGTGTGGGTGAGAATGCAGTGGGAAGGACTCGAGTTGGATAAAAAGGAGAACTTTCCAAAGGCAGATAATTATTTAGATAATTTAGGCAAAAAAAAAAAAGGAGATTTTCTTCAATTATCTTTTCTACCCCCATTTTTTTTTTTGCACTGAATAATTCATTCTTGCATTCATTCATTTGTGCAATAAGCACTGAATTATCTAGGTAATTGCTCCCATTTTCCACTCCATCCTGCTGGGCTGTCTGTTAGCCAGCAGAGCCTGGGGTGCCGGGGTGTGTGGGGAGGGGGTTAGGAGGGAGGGGGGCTAAAAGGAGCAAAGGGAAGAGTGGAAAGGGGACGGTCACTTCTGGACTCGAAGCCCGTGGGTGCTGAGGGTGCTCTCAGGGCTGGCTTGTCCCCCTGTGACAGCGCTGGTCTCACTTCTCAGGACCCCCTCCCTCCCTGGGCTGTCCATTTGTCCCCCAGAGACTGGTGTGTGTGGCTGGCTGAGTGCTGGTGCTCCGTCACACCCTGCCCTATCCTTGGGGACGGCTGGAGATGGCCCAGCCGGCTGAATGGCTGATAACAAGTCCTGCCTTTCTTTGCATTTAAAAAGACAAGAGAAGGAAAATAGGAAAGGACATTTATTTTCTTGGAAAAAAAAATATATATACGCACACAACCGGTTCATTAATTTCTTATTAAAATTCCGTGTTGAGCACGGGCGAGGAAGGAGTGGGGGAGACCCTGGGGAAGGGGCGGGAGGAGATCATCCCCGCTTGTTAGCGCCGGCTGCGGGCGCCCATGGAGGGAGGCCCAGGAAGGTGAGGGGTGCTGAGGGGGCTTCTCATCACCAAGCAAGGGCGGGACTGGGCCTGGACAGTTCCTCCTCCCCTCTGCAATGGCAGAGGAGGAAAAGAGGTCTCAGGAAGGAGCAAGATTCCTGGGCCCACGCAGCAAGTCTCGATGACAGTCCGTGTTTGAACCCAGGTGCCCTGCATCCTGGGGGCCGTGGCTTCAAACTGCTTTGCCATGGCGAGAACCCAGGGCTGCCTGGTCTCTGCAATTGGGTCTGGAGCTCGTGATTGGGAGCTGGGAGGGAGACCCAACCCCTCTGTGTTTCTTTTTTAGTGCTTGGTCAGGTTGATTAAGGAACGCTACAGTGATGGATGGCCTCCCCTGCTGGGCCAGAGGCTGGCTGGAGACTGGAAGCCTCTCTGGAAGAGGCTGTGGAGAGGGAGGATGGCTGGGCTGGGGGAACTTGCCGTCAATCCAGGAGCCCTGTTCAGGCTGATTCCAGGATTAACTTGGGGGGTGACCTTGGTCAGCCCTTGGCCCTGTGTGTCCATTTCCTCAGCCATCCAGTGGTTGGATGTGGTGGCTTGTGGATGTCATTACATGACGTGCAGGGAACAAAGCGAGACCCTGCCCAGGGTAGGCAGTGGGCCAGGCCCTGGGGGTGGGGGGCAGCTCCTCTCTGGTCTGGTTTCTGCAGCAGCATCACACTTGCCCCCAGCAGGGCCCCAGAAATACCTTGAGAGCCCACAGGGGCTGCACCTCCTGCAGCCAAGCACCCAGCCCTCCTCAGAACAGATTCCAATAAAGCTCATTTTCTGCCACCAAGTTTATAACACATCTCCACCTACTGGCCTCAAACATTAACAAGGCTGTGTGGTGGCACCGGGCTCCATGTGGCCAGGAGGAGCAGGGGTGTGGGAGGAGGGAGGCAGCACACACCTGGTTCCCAGCAGCGGGGACACCCCAGCCTGGTCCTGTCCTCCTGCATCTCCAAAGGAGGCCCCAGCTTGGATCATCAGAGGAATGGAATGGGAAGCGTGGACACGGCCTGGGGAGAAACTCTGGGCTTCTGGGCCAAGGGCCACATGCACTTGAGTTCATGCACTCAGAGCAATGGGGGACACTGGCATTTATATCCTGAGACCATGTCATAACATGACACCTGAGACCCATGTGTCTTGTAGATGCCACTCCAGGGGCATGGCATGGGCCTGCTCCTTCCTCTTGTTTTCTTCCTAGCGTCCCTGCCTGTCTCCTCCCCTGTCCCTCTTCTGCCCCAGGGCCCAGAGCTCTCTCTCTTGCCTCATCCATTTCTTCTGAGCACCTACCATGTATGAAGCACTGGAGTGAGAGGCAAAGACATGGAAGATGTGACTGACTCCTGTCCTCGAAGCAGGAGGTAAACATGCCCATGCACATGCTTCCTGTGTGTGCCCAGCCTGGCTCAGTCCCCAAAAGGCAGGAGGATATGCAGAGGCGGCATCAAGACAGCTCTAGTACTTCTGTTGGGGCAGGAGGGCTGCTGGAGAGAGCAGTCACTGGGACATCTAGGGAGACTCCCGGGAGGAGGTGATAACTGAACTGTGCTTTGAAGGGTAGGAAATGATTTCTGGAGGAAGGGTGATCCAGATGGAGAGAATGGCATGTGGAAAGCAAAAAGGCAGGAGAGTGATGAGTGACGCCTCATGAGGTACATGGAGGATGGAAAGGTGTGTACCAGACATGAAGATGACCATAGGGACATGTCCATGGAGGATGTTGGACACAGGGCAAAGCTGACTAAGGCAGCGGATATGATCAGCTCTGCCACAGACTGAACCATCACCTGGTCCTCCCAAACTTTCACATTCAAACTAAATATGGAGGAGAGTCTCCCCAAAGACAGAATCAAGAAAATGGCCTTCACAGATGATCTCTGGAAGAGGCCTTGAGACTGGCAACAGTGTAGGGGACCCAGATGCCCCCACCATCTACCCTTTGAGCTGAGCTGGACCCTGAAAGGGAATGGGGGGGGTCTCTGCCCAGCAGTCCTGGCAGAAAGAGAGGAGGGCATGGATGGGCCAGAGACCACACTGCCCGTGGAAGGTGGGGACATGAGGGAAGGAGGCCAAGGTCACCCTGCCCAGTGGCGCCAGAGTCAGACAGAAACCCAGGCTACTTGCCTCCAGACTGTCTGAGTGGTCAGAACCCTGTGGCCCCAGGATCCTGCCAGGCGTCAAACAACTGCACCTGCCCCTCCACCCCCACAGCATCCTGGATCACCCAGAAAACCCAGCCATGAATTAGGCGTGAGATTAAGTCCATGTGCCTTCCTTATCAGAGGAAATGGTTGGCGGAATGGCCATCAGGCATCCTTGGAGGAGGAAGGGCCAGGGGACTCTTTTTTTTCAGGGGGAGGTTTCTTTTATTTGGGCCTTTCCCATTCGGGGGATCCCCAAGTTTTAAGCATCTTCCCCAGAGCAGAGGGGAGACTCAGACATGGAATGGGGAAGAGGCCCCGAGTCTCAGGGGAGGAGGGGCTTGGAGAGGGAGTCAGACAGTCAGGAGGCGGAAGCCTGCCCCACCTCAAGTGTTTTCTTCCTGCAGCCAGGTCCTGAGCCCCAGGCGTGCAGCACTGGGCTAGCAGTAGCTGTGTGACAGACAGAGGAAAAAGCCACGGTTCTTCTCACTGCTCCAGGACCACCAGCAGGGAGACCCCTGGGTTCCAAAGGAAAACCAGAAGCAGAGAGCAAACAGTCCCAGGCATTTGCAGGCAGCAGCCAAGGCCCACCTGGAACTGGAGCCTAGGAAGCAGACAAGATGCTGGCAGGTGACAGAGGGGAAAAGAAATTTAGTGCCAAACTGAGGAATTAGGAAGGGGTGGGTCGGTGGAGACCTAAGGACAGTGTTTGAGCTGCGAGAGGTCTTAACTGGATTTCGGGATGGAAGGTCTGACAGCAAAATGCAAAGGTGGGGAGAACCATGCCTAGACCCAGTCCTGAGCTCCCAGGTTTCCTCCTGCTGGGCACTTGGATTCCATGCTCACCGGGGCTAGTCACCAGCAGCTCGAAGCTCCAGTGTACAGAGGAGCCCACCTCTACCCCTTTCCCATCCCCAGTCTTGCAAACCCCAGCAGGCAGAGATTTGGGGTTCAGCTGCACTCCCAACCGCCCCACCCACTTCCACCTACCCCAGGCTGGCGCTTGCCCTGCCCATTGCTCTCCTAGTAGAGAACTGAGGTTTGCTATCACTGGTGAACTGAAGGCAAAACAGCCCCGTGGAGTCACTCCCCACGGGGAACAACCAATCCCCATTCATAGAGACCGGTCAGCCGACTCCCCTCCCCCTCCTGGCCCCAGGACCCTTGGATTCTGAGAGACCATTCTTTTTCCTATTCTTTCAACCTTGAGAATGCACCCTGGTCAGGGTGAGGGAGGCCGCTGGTTAGAGACCTTGGGCACACACATGGCACGCTTAGGCAGGCTCCTAGGGACTGGGCAGCTCTGGGCAAAAGCTGAGCACGGCACAAGGAGAGTCTTCCTCCAACGTGTAGAGGCCACTACCCCCTCCGTCAAGTCCCTCTCCATCCTGTCCGAGGCTCACCCTCAGCGTGGGGTATCGAAACCTTCTTCACCCCGCCCTTGCTGGTTGGGGAAATGTGTCCCGGGCCTGTTGGATACACGTTGGGAAGGGCAGAGGCTGCTCTTCTCCATTCTCCTCTCCCTCTCCCTTCTCCCTTCTCCTCTTGGAGCATCTCCAGCTTGCGGAAGGCCCGCCGCAGCCACCTTCCGTCTGGTCTGAGTTACCACGCTGGGGGGCTGTTCAGAGACCCTCTGTCCCCCATCCGTGTCCCCCCTGTCCCACAGCCAAAGCGCGCCAGCCCGGCCCCTCCCTCTCCCACCCCTTTCCCGAGGAGCCCGGGGCGAGCCTGGGGAGCAGACGCAACAGATTGCAGAAAGCAAGAGCGCCGAGCCCGCTCCCTCCGCGCGCCCTGCCTGCGCCCGCTGCCCAAACCCCCGCCTCCTGGCTCCGCTAAGCCGGCCATTTAGATGCAGCTCACAGGACCGCGGGCGGCCGGGCGGCCGTGGCTCCCGGGGCCCTGTCAGTCCACTTCCCTTCTCCAGGACCGCCGCAGGAAGCCAGACAGCGGGCCGCGCGGCCCCGCACCCGCCTGCGCGCCAGCGGCCGAAGAAGATGCGATTGCACGGATCCCAACAGACCCCCGCCCGGCCCGCTGCAGGGGGAACCGCGGGTGGGGAGGCTGGAACGCGATCCAGCAGACCCCTCTAGATTACCATAGGCGGACACGCCCCCAGGTTCTCGGGTTTAGACCCTTCTTTTTAACCCTGGGAGGAATGGAGCGAACCTTCCCCCCCAGCCCTTTTCCTGGGCCGGGCTCGGTCCTCTCCGCGGGTCTCGAGCTTCAGCTCCCGCCAGAGGGCTTAGGGGCCGGCGATAACTCAAGCTGCAGCCCAAGACGCCAGGCTGGAGGGGCGGCAGAGTCCAGGGGG